TGCTAGAACCTAATATCCAATATGATACCACAAAGAAGTGGGGTCTTTTGGGAAGTAAGGCATAAGGACTCTGCCCTCATGAACAGGATTAGTGTCCTTACTGAAGAGGTTGAAAGGAGCTGCCTTGTCCCCTTCTGCCATGTGAGGATGCATCAAGAAAGTGCCATCTATAAGGAACAGGCCCTCATCAGACACTAAATCTACTGTTGCTTTGATCTTGGATTTCTCAGCCTCCATAACTGTAAAAAATAAATTTTTGGTGTTTATAAATTACCCAGTCTAATGTATTTTGTTATAGCAGCCCAAACAATTTCTAAAATAAAAATAATGTAAAGAGAGAGGAGGATTTGGTGAATTTAAAATGGCTGGTTAAAAAAAAAAATTTTTTTTTTTTAACTCAAGACATTCTGATTTTTTTTTTCTTTTTTAGGTCTCACTCTGTCACCCAAGCTGGAGTGCAGCAGCATGATCACAACTCACGGGTCTTAAGTGATCCTCCCACTGCAGAGTCCCAAATAATTGTGAATGCAGGTGTGTGCCACCATGCCCAGCTAATTTTTGTATTTTTAGTAGAGATGGGATATCGCCATGTTTTCCAGGCTGGTCTTGAACTCCTGGGCTCAGGCAATCTGCCCACCTTGGCTTCCCAAAGTGCTGGGATTACAGGTGTGAGCCATTGCACATGTTTTCAAAATTTTAAAAATAAAAATAAAATTTAAAAACACCATAAAGAGTGCATAAAAGTATACATAAGTATTTTATTAATATGTATTGCCCTTTATGAACTGAAACAGTGGGACTCCTGAGACAGGCTCGTTCTCCAGATCTTTAAGGTAAAGCATATGCCAGTGTAAGTATAACCAGTATGTTCTGTGACCTCGCCATTGGCTAATGAGCCAAGTGCATCATGTTTACACAGTTCTACAAACTGGCCCAATCTACTTTCTTACCAAGCAGTCTTGCCTTTTTCTGTGTCTCCCTAATCTTGCTAACCTCTGATTCACCAACCACTATTACTATGCCACCTAGGATTTGCTGTCTCCCTCATTTCTTTTCTTTTTCATTTTTAGATAGGGTTTCACTCTATTGCTCAAGCTGGAGGACAGTAGCTCCATTATGGCTCTCTGCAGCCTCGACCTCCCTGGCTCAAGGTATCCACCTGCCTCAGCCTCCCAAGTAGCTGGTACTACAGGTGCATGACACCACGCATAGCTAATTTTTTTTTTTTGGTAGAGATGGGGTTTTACCATTTTGCCTAGGCTAGTCTTGAACTCCTGGACTTAAGCAACCTTCCTAACTCAGCCTCCCAAAGTGCTGAAATTACACATGTGAGCCACTGGGTCTGGCCCCATTACCTTTCTTAACCTCTATCATCAAATCACATTTTTTTCTGCCTCTCCATTCCTAACCTCTGTGAGCACAGAACATGCCTCTCCATTCTTATTGCTACAAATCAGAAACTCATACCTGAACTCCTGATGGCCTTTTTATCTTCAGTTTCTACCCCCACTAAATATTAATGTCAGTGCCAGACACGATGGCTCACATCTGTAATCTCAGCACTTTGCGAGGCTGATGTGGGCAGATCACCTGAGTTTGGGAATTCGAGACCAGCCTGCCCAATATGGTGAAATCCCGTCTCTACTAAAAATACAAAAATTAACCAGGCTCAGGCATGGTGGTGCATGTCCATAATGGCAGCTACTCAGGAGGCTGAGGCAGGAGAATCACTTGAATTCGGAGGCAGAGGTTGCAGTGAGCTAAGATCACACTACCGGACTCCAGCCTGGGCAACAGAGGGAGACTCCATCTCAAAAAAAAAAAGTCAGTTCCTTTTCCTAAAGTGTATTTGCACTTCTTCTCAAGCACTGATTTAAGTCTTATCTTTTTTGTAAAACCTTCTAAGATTCTAACTCATATCCATCTTTCCCTTCCTTAAACACTTAAAAGTATAAACAGCTCAATCTGTCTAATCATAAAAAAATGGCAGCAAACAAAACATTGTATTGGAATAAGCTTTGTGACTTAACAAAAAAGGTTTTTTATGGTGTAGTCTATGTCCGTGAATAATGCTGAGTACTTATGTATAAGACTCTTCAAGTATTATCTTTAGTTCCTTAACAACTAGATGTAATTTTGTGTAGTTTTCTCCATTTTACAGATGGGGACACAGGCACAACAGGTTAAGTGTTCTCAAAGTTACACAAATCAAAATCCAGACAGTTCTTGAGTCAGTGTTCTTAATAATGATCCTAAACTGCTTCTCAAGGAACAAATCACTTATATTTGATATTTTCCATTCCTTAAGAAATAGAGTTAAATCTACCTGTTTTTATTATCCTAAATGAAAAAAATAAGTAAAGCACTTTGTAATTTACAGTTTAAATGAAGACTATCATTTACCTTTATTTATAATCTGGAATATTCATTTTTTCCATGGAATAATTATTTCATTTTTATAAGTAAAGGTCTCTAACGATTCAGGAATTTCCTTGTAAGTAGAGACACATGATGTACTTATGTCCTTTCTGCTTAGAATCCTAGCTAGATCTATTCAATATATATTACTGATTGGTTGACACCCTTGCAACTTGTAGGGAAGTAAAGCATAAAAGCATAAAAAGAAATAAAACTTCCCATCATATAAGGTTAAAAATATTACTTTAAAAATTGCTATTGTGATAGTTTTCCACAAACTATTCAGAGAAGGGCAAATTCACCTTCCTCAGATTCTACTAGAAGTCTGATCCTTTAGGTTAATGCATTCTGCTCAAGATTTAGATTCCGAACTAATGGAATAAAATTATCTATTTCAAGCATACTTTGGTTGATGCTTTATCAATGATATGTCATTTAAATAAGCATTACCGTGAGAGATTTTGATTTAAGGGGAAAGTTTCACTGTAACTCTTAATTTTTTAGTAGTCAAATGTTTATATGTATCAGTTTTTCCTTGGTGGAGCTTTAATGTAATTCTCCTTTATGAGATGCTAAGCTCTCTGCATTCATGTACTCCCAAGGGAATATGGCTAATATAGATAAATCACATATGTAATGTTTGCATCCAGATGTAATTCATTTTTTTTGTCTTAATAAATGGACTTTTCTTTATCCATAGGCTTTCTTGCTACATCTGTGATCCTTACAGACTACAGAAAATACAGCGGCTTTAAGACACATGTAAAAAGCCAAAGATATTTTGTGATGCTCCATAAACACTGTACATCTGCTATTTATCTGGCATATTAATTTAATGAAAGCTACACAAGACCATAGACTTATAATGTATTTATGATGAAAGCAGTTTCATAAGTTACCATGTAATGTTAAACATTTTCAAAACACAAGCACACTCTTAAGGGATGAAAAGCTGTAGGGAGTATTCATTTTTGTAAGATCACACAGCGTTTCGTGTTTTCTTTTTTGAGATGTAGTTTCACTCTTTTCGCCCAGGCTGCAGTGCCACGGTGTGAGTCGCTGCAACCTCCATCTCCTGGGTTCAAGCAATTCTTCTGCTTCAGCCTCCCGAATAGCTGGGATTACAGACGCACCACCATGAGCGGCAATTTTTTTCTTTTCTTTCTTTCTTTTTTTTTTTTAACAGAACTCCTTGCTAATACCTCGTTAATCATTAATTAGTCTGTGGGTTTTGGTTCAACCCCTAACATTTGCAAATCACACAATTATCTCCGTTGTTTCACTTATGGAAGACAGTTTCATTTGTTACCCTGAGAATATGAGACATTCACAATCTAATTCCTGGCTACATTTGATTTCAAACAGATCGGAATAAGTTCCAGAATATAAAATATTAATTATTTGGTAGTCATCTTGCAGGTATTTTGTGGGTATGCCCTAATTAAGAAATGCTTCCTTTTCCGAGGAAAACTGCTGAGGTTGCAGGAGTGATTCCAAAACTACAATTCTTAAGAAATTGCAAATTTAACTGAAATCATAAAGATATTTTGTAAAAAAAAAAAAAAAAAAAAAAAAAAAAAAAAAAAAA